CGTATTCACTCTCTGGTAACAGGCAGAGCTATTTCTATATACGCTCTATATATAGTAGTAATTATGTATCTTAAGTGGGCGTCAGTGTAACTTTAGTCAGTTACACATCTCGTAAAATTCAGGTTTGGATTTCTGCACCGTAAGATAAAGCTGATCTGTAGCTAGCATTGACAGTAGCTGACACTATTTTAAGACAAGTACATCCCCTCATTCTGTACTTTCAGGATCGTTCTGTAATGTTCAAGAGGCCACAGAAGAAAGAAATGATTTTTAGCAACAGCAGCTTACTTTGCTGTTTGATTTTGTATCCGTTCGATGATTTTTCTGTGATATCTGGCTGCTGCTCTCTGCTGATTACAGCAGTTTGAGTTAGAGTTTGGTCCAGATCCAGATCCAATACCAGGCTAAAGAGGGGAAAAGCCCTGGAGTTACTGGAAGTGCTGCTCTGTTGATGCACTTCCTCAGTCTGAGTGTGCAGTTGTTTTAGAAAGATCATAAAAATGTCACTCTGAATGACCTTCACTGCAGCGTTCTTTCATACTTTATGGATCATTTGCTGATAGAAAAAAAAATTAATAATTGGTGCTGTGGATTAGGATGCAAACATGCCTTCAGTAACTTCTGCATAGCAGCTGTGCACATCGTAACTTTGGGGAAATAGGATTTGGGAAATTCTTTTAAGAGCGTTGTCTGAGGATAAAGTGTGAAGAAGAGCAAAGGTAAAACCTGAGTACATGTTGTCGGACGCTGTGGTTTATTGTTTGCATACTTCCCCTCCTACAGCAGCAGCCGAGACTCCAAGAATCCCAAACGTTTATATTTGAGCTGCTCTGACTCTCTTCTTCACACTGACCTGCAACAGGGCAGGATTATTGATTTTATACCACTTCTAAAGATATTAATGTTAACTAGAGTGAGAGTCAGAGCCATAGAGAAGTGCAAACAGTGTCATGTAAAGTCAAATGATTAACAAAGTAGGAGGGTAATAGTTAAGAAAAATAAGAATACAACTTTAGTTTATTTGCTAACCATGCCAATGATACGTTTACCTTTTAAAGTCATGGTGCTTATAAGATCACTAGACATGCGTTCCTGTTTGTCCTCCTTTGTGTCTTATATTTGGTAGTTGTGATATTGCATTGTTTAGTTCATTTCCCATCAAACGATTCTCTTTGTTGATTTGTGTAAGGTCAAAATGGTGGTAAATAATACAAACAGTTATACAAACATATCAGAATAAACCTCATAATCTTATTATCTATTCGTCTTTATTTTTTTAAACCTTACTAATGATCAATGGCGTTTACAGTTTTTATGTGTATACCTCTCATGTGTGTCAGGTTTTGGGAAATTGATCCAAAACTCTGCCTCTGTTGCCCTCTAGTGGCCACACATGATCACTTTTCACACATTTTCCACAGAATATTTTCACAATGCACTTATTGACTAAGTTAACAACAGATACTTTATACTTTCATCTTGTAATTTTCTCAAACGTTAATAGAATGGAAAGATAAAATCTATATCAGCATAACATTGTTTAAAATTGCCCTTTGAATCATATCTTAATGTTTTTGTAGTTTGCAATTTCAAATATTGTGATTCTTCTTTCACGGCTTTTAAATGCATCCAGAGTTTGCTGTTAATGGATACCTTTTACTAATATGTCCCGTCAGTATATCTTTAACTGTACTTTGGTTGTACATCACAATACAAAGCATTACTGACAGTAATATGAGCCCAGTTTAGTTCCTGGAAGTAAGGGGGGAAGAATAAATGATCATCTTCCCATCACCACACCACAACCGCTGGACCTGAACTTTGAGTGCACTTTCACTGTTTCAAATTCAGGAACTTGAAAAGGACGGCCGTGACATTTGAGTAGAAGGGTCTTCATGATTCATTCTGTATTTTTCTGTGACTTCTCGGGAAGCGACATTGAAGATTCATTAATGTGTCAATAGAGCGTCATTGGGATCAGCTGCATAAGCTAAAATACCACAAAAAAAAATGATGAAAACGCAGAAAAAGTTGTTTCTTTAACGATTTTTTTTTCAGCTTCTTTACGATGCAGTTAATGGTCAGCATCGCAACCCCTAAAATATGAGGGCACCCCAACAACAGGAATTCTTAACAAAATGATGAGTCAGTTATACCATTGAAGTTTTCAAGCCATGATTGAATGACATCTTCAGATATCATTAATGAAGGAATTATGAATTAATGAAGGAATGTTATGATGAAGACTACTCATATCTTAAAGAAATACTTTAGTTTTCTCCATTTGGATCTTATCAACTTCCTCTTGCTGTTTGCTGCACAGTGAGTTTCTATTGCAGTAGTTGTGTCTCTGGAGAGGGAGCCATATATAATGACCACCGTGTGCTTGTTGCTTATGAAGGAATACAATCTTTTTTTTTCTAATAACCTATTTTAATTTGAAATAGTGTTTTGCAAAGAATGTGATAAGGAGGGTCATCGTCCTGATGGTCCGGGCTTTTAAGATGCTGATGTTACTGCAACAAAACCTGGTTTGAGTCCAGATGGGGACCTTTGCTGCATGTCGTCCCTCTTCTTCTTTGTGTATTTTGTGTAGGCTGTTTTTTCTTTTGGATAAACGAGTTCAACATCAATTTGAACTTTATTCTCAGACATCCAGCATTTCAAACAATACTTAAACCATTGCATTTTCTCTCTGTTTTTGATTTCTGTTATTTCTGTTATTTGAGCAGCAGACTCACGGGTTACCAGATGGTGGCGCTCGCTGCTGCAGAATCATTGCACACTGTGTGTTGTGCGAGGTACAATGAAGACAACTCTCTGTTCATACAGTATACTAAAACATATACAGTATTGTTGTGAGCGTGCTGGTTGGATGAGGGGGGGGGGGTGCAATTCTACATCACCCCTCCATTTAGAGAATCACACAGTGTGAGATTATGTACTACTATGGGTGTAAATTATTTGGAATCAGGTTTTCATAAACTGTGATGCCTTTCGCTGTGAAAAGGCATGTTGGGACAAGAGCCATTGGCTTGAGGTATGCTTGTCAGGAGCCGCTCCCCAGCCTCCTTTCTCTTTGACTGGATTGGTTTTGTTGTCCCTGAGGCAACACATTTCTGCAGCAGTTGCCGCCACATGTTGGACAATGAAAACTCTCCTTTTTAAAAACGTTTTACCGATTATTGTGACTCATTTAATTATCTTAAACATAATATTGCTCACTCTAAAGTCTTTATTTTGCTTTAAAGTTATGTTAAATGGTTAGGTTGAATGTTACTGTCACTTTTCTACAGTGTTTATTTGTTCGCTAGTATTTCTTTTAGTTACTCCGAAACATTAGTCTATAGATAGGCCGACATTTTATTTATAGATCCCTATCTTTCTTAGAAGATGCACGGTATATCTTGGCCATTGCATTGGAGGGATGTGCTGTAATGCATCACTTTGGGAGACGCACGCACACACACGCACATTCTTGCACTGACTTTGTCGAAAAAAAGTCATAAAAAGGTCATAGTACGACATGTCGAAAAAAGTCATAAAAAGTCATGTCACTACTACTACTAAACTAAGACTATTTTGTACTTTTCGAGTACTATACTATACTACACTTTTTCTGAAATTCTATACTATGACTGTTTTTTTTCTTTCAACATACTATAACAATACTTATTCAGGACCTTTTTTGACATAAATTAGAGGTGCAAAAAGACACATTACAGACACATTATCAATCAAATATAAAAATCATGTCATGATTAACATCCTTCTCAGATGGAATGGAACGGTACCATACTGAAGCAAAGTGCATTCGTGCCACACTCAGGCAGCAACCTCTCGTTCTGATAAATGAAGCCAATGCAAAAGTGCCTTAAACTTGCATTCTTTGTAATAGCCAACAGGGTGTAAAATAGACGATAAAGCAAGGTACGCTTTAGGGCGTGGCTGCCTTGTGATTGACATGTTGCAACCACTGCGTAGTCTAGTCTGTAAGTTGTCCGTGTTTTTGTTTGACAACTTTATGTTAAAATGAACACTGGTCGACTACAAATGTCTTACTCAGCGTTCAGACGTCTTATACTTTCATTCTTTTGTGTCACTTCTGGTTGCGGTCAAAAATACAAGATGGCGACGACAAAGGTACTGAACCTTGGTTAGGAGTATCACACGCACGCACGCGCACACGCACACTCTCACACACACACACACACACACACACCTTTGAAATCATAATTCCCTTGAAATATCTGTAACCCTGTTTTAAAGATACAGCATGTGTAATGAAGGACATCTCCATTACAAGCATTTGTAGCACTTTGTATGGACTGCTTCAAGGAATAAGACACACACTCAAAGGGTTCAATGTGTTATTGAACTGTGTTGATCACTGGGTTCTGGTAGATGTAGTAGCCTCCGGTAGAATTGTTTGAAGGCTGGGCCTGTAAAGACAAACATATGATTCATTTGGCTATCTTTGCCAAAATGATGATTGAGGGTACAATCTGTTGTTTGTTTATGCAATCAAATAACATGTAGTGTATATTATGTTCAAGTGACTTACCTCTGTTGTGTTTCCTCTGCAGGGTGCTCAGATTAAAAGAGTACCTGAGCACCAATTTTTAGTTCCGGGAGGTACCACATATTAATGAGTAGAGGGCGTTAGAGAAGTTTAATTCCCTGTTCGGGCTTTATGTGATCTCTGTTGGAATGTGTAACACCAATAGAGATCATGCAGATGATTGGTATACTATTAGGCTGATACTAATGTATTTGAATGTATTTGTTGTGGTGTAAGTAATTGTGTTGTCAGGTGACCTATACTGCAGTGGGGTTCGAGGTCCTCACCAGTAAAGCTGCCAGATTCAATCAAGTGCTGTCGCTGCCAGGACCACGCTTAAGATGACTGTCATGTTTTGTGATAATTGTTGGTGAAATAAATATCTGGTTGGTTTGCACCTAACCTCTGTGTCAAGCATGCTGCTCTTGAAGTCCGGCCGCTAAGTGGCCATTCCAACAGCATGAAAAGAACGAGTGGGCATGTGGATGAGTGACACACACAGAGTTAAGAAAATTCAAAAGTACTGAGAGATGCAAGAACATTGTTGGCTTGCAGGGTTTATATAGGATTTGAACACCAGCCATATGTTACACATCAAACCAAACCAAAACTGAATGCTATAAAAACATACAATACTACAAAAACAATGAGGATTTTATTTTACATGATTTGATAGAATAGTGGTAAGAATCCAAACAAAGCAATTAACAAAAATAAAACTCACACACTGAGCAGATTTATATTAAATGGGTTATAGTTGTTGTCATCTGTAATATTAATTTCCATAGTGAATATGTGGAAGTTCGCTGCAGTACTTTTTCATTTTTTCAAATTTTTGCTGTCTATGAGCTATATACACTACCAAAGAATGGAGTGTATTTCCAAACAAATATAAACATACAACAAAAACAACACCTGCACATTGTAAAATATTAAGAAACAGAAATCTGAGTAACAGAAGACAATTGCCTGCAAAGAGCACGTTCTCCCTCAGACGTAGTCCTTGCCTGGCTGGCCTGCAGAGCGGGACGCTGGGTGGCGGGGAGAATTCCCAGAGTCCTTGCTGGAGCAGTTGCAGCAGAGGAAGCTCCCTCCTATGATGATGAGACTGGCCGCTCCCCATCCAACAAACAAGGCACTTCCGAATTCATACCTGCGAATTATTCACACATCACATTGATACTTATGCTTGCATTTGGAAAGGACAAGCATTACAAGTCATCAAGTCTAAATACAAGCTGAATGTATTATATTTAATTGGGCTGGATCTGATTTACAGCAGTACAATTCAAAGATCACAACACGGCTCCAGGTCAACTGTTTCCCCTTTTTTCAGTTTTTATGCTAAGCTTCATATTTACTAGTATTTTCCAAATTATCCAGTCACCATGTATATTTAGTCGAGTAATTTACTTGACTCGGCGACAATTCTGAGGTACTTGTAGCCTACTTTATGTTGAGTGTTTCAATTTTATTGTACTTTACATGCTTACTTTTGTACTTTTTACTCCACTACATTGATGTGACACATAATTACCAGTTAGTTTGCAGATCAAGATTTTACAAACAATATATACGATCCATTTACAAAATATAGTGTAGAAAATAGTTCCTGGCCAGCAAGGGATTCTACTTTTGATACTTAAAGTACATTTTACTGATATTACTTTTGTACTTTTACTTGAGAAATACCTTGAGGGAAGGACTTTTACTTGTATCAATTTTTACAGAATGGTATTGATACTTGTACTTAAGTAAAAACTTCTACGCCACTGAAAATATCAAACCTTTTCTTTAGGTGTGTAATACTACCTGATTACAACAGTACAGTACAAAAGATAGTTTAGTTGGCATGAGTCTATCCTCTGTGTCATTACACACAGACACGGTGATAATTAGTGTGGATTCCTGACCGAATGTGCAGAGGACGACCTCACCTAGAATTAGTCGGAGTGAATGGGTTGTAGAAGTCCTTGGTTATTCTGTGGCCATACCAAGATGTTCCCGCCAGAGCAAGCACACCTGAAAACCATGAACGGAAAAACATTTTATAGATTTGCAGGTTAAAAAAATGCAAGACATGTGTCATCTGTCATGAACCAACATTTCTATGAACCCATGAATTCACCTCAAGCCAAATCATGTCAAAGATGTGTTGCAATACAGTGGTCAAAACAAAACACACAGTAGTGTGGTGTAACATCCTGCATGTGTGAAGTGAATGGACTCTGACCAGCGATAATGAAGATAACCCCTCCAGCTAGAGCCACTTTGTCCTTCTGCTCCGGTTGATCTGCCATACAGGTGGTGCACCTCATGCCCACCATCTCCACCAAGAGAGAAATAAAGCACAGCAAGATGGAGCTCAGCATCAGCCCACGTGTGCCCTGTACAATCCCTGGAAACAAAGACACGGCACAGAATCAGAGATTGGAGCAGGTTTCATGCAATTTCCCAGCTTTCTAAATTTTTTTATTAATTTCCGTCTGGGTCATTCCTGTTCTGACTTCAAATACATATTAATTGCAAACAGTGATTACTTGTGACTACTTGCCCCTATTTCTAATGTATCTTAAATGATAGCTTAAACAAAACCTAAGCTTAAGAAAGTTCTTTATTAAATCTCATTGTTCTTCTTGTTTACAACAGGCACAAAACAGGGGGGAGTGCAGAGGACATGAGTCACATCCAGCTGAGGTTTACTCGAAGCATTCCTGTCTGATGAAGCACATATCAACCTTTTATCATATAGAAGTTAAAAAATCTATTTACATAGGCTACATTTACATTTGAAATCCAACACAATCCATAACTTCTATCTCTCTTAAATTGATTTAAAAGAAGAATAGGTGTTGTTTTTCAGCCAGCTGCTGGTATTTGACGGACATGTCTCAGCTTGCAAACCATTTTTAGGAAGGTTTGAATGCCCAGAGAGATTCACACATTCCTCTTTTACAGCATACAGGCCCACAAATCTTACTTTTAAAATTTAGACATTTCCTGAATTCATAAAATATTGAAAAAAATCTAACAATGTTTCACTATCCCATTTCTCATTTTCTTCCCACATCCATATTTCTGTAGAAGAAGAAATGATGATGAAGGGAAATGATTTAGGACACAATATACTGTGATTGTTATACGCTCACTGTGCTGGGCCTGATGATATGATCAGTAGTAGAGTATAATGAAAACATGATATGTAAAACAACAGTACCTGGTAGTTGCAGAAGTGAATCATACACTTTACACTGAACTTGACCAGTGCTCTGTGATACACAGCTCTTCCACAGCCCTTCATACATCGCCTGAGCCGTGATGATGTTGTCTCCCGCGTACGACGAAGCTTTCCATTCCACCATGATTGTGGATGCTATTGAGCCAATGAAGCCCAGGAAGGCCAACGTGAACCCAAGGAGCTGTATACCTGCATTGGCCATCGTTTGATTTCAGAAAATGTAAATGATGAAAGTGGAAAAAGTTCAAAAAGATAAAAAGGATCCTAAATTTGTCTTGATGTAGTTCCCGGAGGCTTGGGGTGGTGGAGCTGATCCTAAGCAGTGTAAAATTACCTGTGCATCCTCAAGGAACATCCCAGAGGAGAGGGAGGATCCAAGAATGTCATCAACTCTGACTTCAAAGTTAGGAGGAGCAGGCTGACACCTAGTGGAGGAGATGGTCTCCTTCGACGACTGAAACCTCACAGGACTCAAACACAATTCACATTTTGTATTTACACTACAGCTGAGGTTGTGCTTTCAAAAGCAATTGAAACTAATTTGAATGGATCATTTACAATGCTCAAGCTCTCCAATTGATGCCTCTCTGTGTTATTACTCTATATGAGACCCTGGCTGTTTTTAGCCAGGGTCTCTCATTAAAGAAATGATGTGTCTTCAAAGACCTCCAGGTTAAATGAATAGAAGTAGAAGTCGCACTGGTTGTAGAATTATTTCTGGTGGACAAAAATAATTACTGGAAAGAGTAACTTTTCTCGTGACAGCACATTCGCGCTCGTATCTATTTGCTTTGTTTTGGTAAATAGTGACACGTCTCTGACAGACTTCTGCTGAAGCTAATACTAATAAAAAAGACAGAAGCCTCAGTCACCCAGAAGACCGTATTTTTTTGACATGTTGTATATTAATATTAAAGTATCAAATAAAAGTTTCCTATTTTCTGCTCTGTGAGTTGAATTGCTGGACAAAAGGAGTGTCCCTTTTTTTTGTGAGCAAATGAAAGCATGGCAGGAGCTGGCCGCTGACCAAAGGTTTTTGTCTTGCCTAATTCAAACGTGTCGTTTGCACTTTGTGTCAGCTGGCCTGCGGATTGACAGGGGGATTTGTTTCAATGCTACGGGATCCCTGTAACACACAGGTATGTTGGATTTCTTTTTTTTTTTTAAATAGAAAAATACTCATTCTTCTCTCATTGGAACAAACAGCTTCAGTACCTTTATTCTACTCTCATATCAAAGTAAAGTCGACTTTGGTTTCCTGTTAATTTATAGAAACTTTCTTCATGTTTTGACAGTGAAAAATGGACAAAGAATTGGGCCTGATTCTGTTCCTGGCACTGCTTCTCTGCCACAGAGGCCACACACAGTCACAACTCTCTTGTCCATACAATTGCCAGTGTTTCACTTCAGTCCAAATACTGTGTTCTCATGAACAGATAACCTCTTTACCCAGGAACATGTCCAGGCAGGTCAAAGACTTTATCCTGATCAATTCAGCCGTATCATACCTGTTCTCCCACACTTTAGAGGACAGCCCCCAACTCACCAAGCTTATCTTCCTAAGTAATGCACTACGAAGTGTTCACTCTCAGGCTTTTGAGTATCTGACTGAGCTGCAGGAGCTGGAAATCAGTGGGAACCCCTGGCTGGAGCATTTATATTTGGGGACTTTCTCAAAGCAGGAAAACTTGACTAAACTGTTGCTTAACTTCAACCGGTTCAAGACCTTGCTTCCTGGCACGTTTGACTCTCTTAAACAGCTCGAAACTCTGCAGATAAAGGGCAACATCATATCAGATCTGCCTCCATTCCCTTTCCTGAACCTCCATAATCTGCGTGTCCTGGATTTGTCCCAAAATATGCTTATTTGCATAAAAAGGGAAACCTTTTCTGGTCTGGCAAGACTGGAGATCCTGAGAATGAACAACAACCTCATCAGCAATCTAACATCTGACATGTTCCACAATATGTCTCAGCTGATAGAGCTGCACTTTGAGGGGAATAAGATATCAGAACTCGCTGACGATATCTTCTTTGTTTTAACCAAACTGAAGGTGCTGAACCTCCGCGGAAACCTACTTACAATTTTCAGCGATACAGTGTTTGGATTCGAGACAACATATTTGAAGGAGCTGAATCTAAAAGGGAACAGATTGACTGAGCTGTCCTCTCTGGGCAGTTTGACGTCTCTTACCGACCTCATCTTGTCTTCTAACCAGCTCTCTGACCTTCCTGAGGACATTTTTAGAAATGTTACAGCCCTTGAGAACCTTGATCTGTCTGAAAACCAGCTCACCCTGCTGCCTGAAATGATTTTTCATCATCTATTTAGCATCAAGGGAATCTATCTTTACAAGAACAACCTGAGCAAGGTGGACAGTAAACTGTTTGAGGACCAGATTCTCCTTCAGCAGCTCTACCTGTCTGACAACCAGCTGGAAACTCTCCCACTGGGCCTTTTCGACCCTTTTGTCATCCAGTACACAGTGAGACTGCACGGGAACCCCTGGAAATGTGACTGCCACATGTCATATCTGCACGACTGGATGCTGGAAAACAGCAGTGATATAGAGATGCTGGACAGAATGCTCTGCGCGAGCCCCGATTATTTGAGAAGACGGCCAGTCGTCTCCATCGAAAAGGACCAGCTGGTGTGTCCGGTGTCTAAAGATGACATGCCTGATCTCAGGAGCTGTAGCCTTCAAGCTACCGGTGACACTGTAATTATCAAATGTAAAGTAGATAAATGCTCTCCACTGACAGTGAAGGTACAGTTTCAGGAGGATGACGGCAGCATTATGGAGCATATTTTGAAAAGTGAGCGTCAATGTAGCAATGAGACAATAATCGAGATCCCTGTTCAGTAGCTTTTCTTCTTATTCAGACTTTGTTCTCTGTGCAAATACATTGTCATGCATTCAGCCTTTCTTCATACATCATATGTTCTGACTGTCACAGTCAATACTCTAAACAAACCTCTAACTCACTGTTTGATAAGCATGCTGCTGAATGATAAGAGGGGTGGATGAACCCTTTTCTTGTGAAGTTCAAAGTTCAACCCGCTGCTTTTTAAGATCACTGCTAAAAGGAACTTTGAGTAAACATCTGCTAACATGTTGAATCTCAGTAGATGCTTCTGGCTCCCTTGTTTATGTACACTGGCATTGTCAAACTGAACATCATCAGAACAACAAGTACAGAATACTTAGGAATGTTTTGGAACAGATGCCAATGTACAAGGTCAATAAAATGGATTATTTGCTTCTTAAAAGGATTTGTTTGAATTGAAAATGTACAACACTTTGAAAAGGCAGGAAACATAGGCTGTCCTTAAGGCAGTGTCGGAGGAAGTATTCAGTATTCAGATCCTTCACCTAAAGATCCCAAGTTGTAGAAAGTGAGATTTCCATGTCTTCTTTCATTTTAAAGCAGGTCTATGTGCTATAAATACTGTATCAAGTATTGAGACGCTCAATCCACTGAGAGATGCACACTGCCCACATTCAGGAACTGTGCTTTTAAACTAGTAATCAGGACTTGCATAAGGTTGTGATGTCGCAATACAGTCACCGGTAGTCCCCAGGAAGAGCAGCTAATTTTATGCATGGTGGCCAAACTATGACCAAAGACCAAAGACTTACAAGAGATGTCTTTCTTTTTTTTTTTTAGGTGAATCAACTTCCCAGTTGGAACACTTGAATAGTCCTAAAAGTAGGAAAGTGCACTAGTAGCTGAGTTCAGAGTTATTTTCCTTCCTCCTTTCATGTGAATGATCCCGAGGACGAGGATGGACCAGGGGTTTGGAGGCGGGGTTAAAGGAAATGTTCGTGTGCTTGCTCGCCTGAAGATCCAGATCATTTCATCTGAATTTTATAACTACGATTTTTTTTCGAAAACTTTTTTTGCTTCACACACCACTGAGCAATATCATAGGAATGAATGGGCCGCCGCCTCCGACGCTCCATCCAGTTCTCTTTATACATCCATGGTTGACCCACACCATGAGGCCCAATCCCAATGTCCCTCCTAAGGCCTTGAACCCTGAACCCTCAGGGATTTACTGACGTCACCTGGTAAATGGTTGAGTGTGAGAGACTTAAAATGGTGAAAATACGAATGTTACAGCACTTTGCTGCAACACGACAACGTTAAACAATATTAATATTATTTACAATTGTGGGTATTTATTTTATACTTTTTATTCCTTGATTTTTTCAGGCTCTTTTCTCACAAGATGAGAGTTAATATTCAAATAATCTATTTACTCGTTTTTGTCAAAACGGCTTCAACGACTAAATTAAATGTTTGATGAATAAATCTGTGTAATATAATCTCTGCTTCAATTCCTCTGATTTCATGTGTTTTTATGTTCCATCTTTAATCATTAATGTTTCTGGGTAAATGTAATTTGTCTCCATGCTTCCACTGGTAACCCCGTGTTTAACTTCAAATTGCTATGAATTGTGGGTAATTCCCTTGCGCAAAGTCTGCAGAAGTGCGGACTTACGGAAAGGGATCATAAAGGGCTCAAAATGTCTGCAAAAGAGCCTCGAACACTCGATGATTTGACAGTGGGGCAGTCCTAAACCCTCACGGACTTTACAGGAGTGCACCCTAAAGTCTGTGAGTATATGAAGACAACAAAAACGCAGATGAGGAAGACTGAAAACGCTGACCAAGCAGAGCAGACTGGGTTTTTTCCCAAACAAGGCTTAAAGAGACAGGTGCTAAAACTGAGCGTTTCAGACGGAGGGTGAATACAGGTATATTTAGGCCAGTAAGACAAAAAGTAAGTTTTTTTTGAATATTCAAGCACGTAAATATGTTCTGGTAGAAACCCTGAATACAAGTAAGAACCGGGAAAAGAGCATGATATATCTCCTTTAACTGAATGTTCCCATACTACAATGTAAAAATACTCAAATTCAAGTCAAAATGTTATTTGAGTAAAAGTGTGGAAGTGCCATCATCAAAATGTACTTAAAAGTAGAAGTAGAATAGCTCTTGTCCTTGTTGTGATATATATATTATTGTATATTATGTGATTTCATTATTATTACCGATGCAATAATGTGTATGCAGCATTTTAATGTTGTAGTTGGCCAAGGTGAAGCTAATTTATATATTATTTTATATTTTTTACAGGATTGTAGACGTGAACCATCCTGTCATCTAGGGCTTTCAAAAGTTGATCGAGACCCTCTGATCACTCCACTGCTCCTGAACACTAGGAGGGACGATAAAGAGTGAGGGAGGAGGGATGCCCCGGCACAGCAAGGCTCACAGATGGCTTCACCTTGAATACAGCA